TTTTTCCTGCCGGATCCTTGGGACCATGGGCCCGGCCGGGCCTACCCATCCTGCTGGCCAGTGATGAAACTTGCCAACACACTGCAGTTAGACTCCCCGAGGGTCCTCTTCTAAAATCAACCATTGGTGCCACTGAGGAAGGCGATGCCACCAAAGGGTGTGGCAAGCCTCTGTCCTTTCAGAGATAAGGTGTGATGTAAACAGACACACTTTTTTTTTCTTTTTTTTTTGGCCCACTGCGGGGCACGTGGCATCTTAGTTCCCCAGCCAGGGATCGAACCCTCACCCCCTGCAGTGGAAGCGCGAGTCTTAACCACTGGACCCCCGGGGAAGTCCCCAGACACACATATTTTAATAAAGACCGCTCGCAGCCATCCCCGTTGGACCCCACAGTTGACTAAAGCCCCCCACTTACTGCCTCTTTAACCCGTGACAAGTTTGGGAGAAGGGGAGAGGGCTGTCGTCAGTGGAAAAACGATCTAGTCCGCAGCTCCAATCCTGGTTCTCCCTTCCAGAGCCTTTATTTCCTATTCTATAAAATGGGCCAAAGGGTTGCTGGGAGGACCACGTTGATGTCTATCTGGCTGTCTCAGGCGGCAGTTAGGAAGGCCGGGTGCACCGGCTGAGCCAACCCTGTGTTAAACCCATAGGCTCCTTGCGGGAGCTTCATCGATGCTTCTTGCGAGCTAAGCCCCGGCTGGAGGCTGCAAAGGCAGCGGTGAGAGGCTCCCGGGAGCAGGCGAGACAGACAATGAACCCATAATCCGAGTGATAAGGGCTGTGAAGGCACTAAATCAGGGTCACGAACCAGAAGGCCGTGCGCTACTTGAACAGGGCAGTGTTCCAAAGGCCTCTCTGAGGAGACGTCTGAGCCAAAACCGGGTCGTGAGACTCTGATCCTGAGGCCTCCCTTCCCTGTGGCTGGAGCCGAGGAGGGTCGGAAAGATGTGGGAGGGGCCTGGCTCACTCAGCCCAGCCCTGCTCTGTCCTGTAACCCCGGGCAAGTCACTTTGCCCGGAAGCATCATTTTCTCCACCTGTACAAAGAGCTAAGATCACCTGTGCTGTGATTTTAAAACCTGGCTCCAAAAATCTTTGACACTCCTCTCGCTGAGAGGCGGGGTCTCCGTCCCCTCTGCTTTATTTTTTTTTTCCCTATCTCCACCAACATTACGTGAGCTATTCTTGAAGCAATACTAAAGTAACACTAAATTATAGTCTAAAAGAGTAAATACATAATGCTACATTGGGTACAGCTGTGTTTAACCATTTTTGAGGACGATCAGTCCGTACGTTTCCCAGAGGCTGCTTATGGACTGGTTTGAGAATCTAGGAATCTAGGGTAGAAATGCATTCATGTCATCTTTTCTTTTTCCCCCCTCTCCTTGAAACTGTGCGGGTTTCTGATTGCTCCGACCAATCAAGTATGACAAAAATGAGACTACGTGACTTTCAAGGATAAGTCTTAAAAGTCGGTGTCCTAGGGGCTTCCCTGGTGGCGCAGTGGTTGAGAGTCCGCCTGCCGATGCAGGGGACGCAGATTCGTGCCCCGGTCCGGGAAGATCCCACATGCCGCGGAGCGGCTGGGCCCGTGAGCCATGGCCGCTGGGCCTGCGAGTCCGGAGCCTGTGCTCCGCAACGAAAAAAAAAAAAAGTCGGTGTCCTTTCCACCTGGTTCCCCTGGGAACCTTGCTTTGCAAGAAAAGCACTTCATCACCACGTGGAGGCAGCCACAGACGGGCAGCCCCATCTGAGCTCCCAGCTGACGGCCAGTGTCGCCTGCCAGCCTGGCCATCCAGCCCCATCCAACCTTCAGCTGCCCACAGCCCCACCACTGTCTCATGGTCTCCGCATAGACCACCCCCCGCCCCCAGCGAGAACTGCCTGGCTGAGCCCTAAACGAACTGCTGAGCCATCAGATCGTGAGTCAGATAAGTTGGTTGTTTTACACTACAAGTTTGAGGGTAATTTGTTCCATGGTTTTAGTAATGGGAGCACCTATCTCTCTGCCCTCACTTCTTTTTTTTTTTTTGGTACGCGGGCCTCTCACCGCTGCGCTCTCTCCCGTTGCGGACGGACACGCAGGCTCAGCAGCCATGGCTCACGGGCCCAACCGCTCCGCAGCATGTGGGATCCTCCCGGACCGGGGCGCGAACCCATGTCCCCTGCATCGACAGGCGGACTCTCAACCACCGTGCCACCAGGGAAGCCCCTGCCCTCACTTCTTAAACCTCTCCCTTGCTCACGGGCTCCTACCACCTGCCCTTTTTTCAGTTCCTAAAACACACTGAAATGGTTCTGGCCCCAGGGTTTTTTCCACTAGCTTCCTCTCTCTCCCTGGAAATTCCCCTCCCTCCCCGCATCGTCCATGGCCGCCTCCTTATCTTGTAAGGTCTCAGTTCAAACAGTCAGCCCTCAGAGAGCCCCTCAGGACCACCTGATCTAGATTAGATCTCCGATCCCCAGCTGCTATCACATCGCCAGGCGGTTCTTAAGCACTTAACCAACCATCTGATATTTTTCTGTTTGTGTTTTTTGACTATGCCCTCTGCCAGATACAAAGTCTGTGAGAGGAAAGCCCTTCCCTGCTTTGATCACCTGTGTGTCCCCTGCTCCTTGTATAAAGTCTAGCACAAGGTAAGCATGGATACATGTTGATTAAACGAATGAATATACAAAGAAGGACACATCCATGAGAGGGACAAACATTTCTGTCAGAGAGAACCGCAAGAAGAAGTGAGGAGGGTGGTGTGTTCCAGGTAAGAAAAGCACCAGGGTGAGGCTAGAGGGTTCAAAATGACACAGGCAGGGTGAGAGAGGTCCAGGCCTTTTAAAACATGGGAAGGATATTTTCAGGCACAACGTGAACTGATGGGGGGGCGGGTCTTAAAATACACGTAACATGCAATTTAGCGCTTTAACCGGTTTTAAGTGTAGATTCAGGGCATTAAGTACATTCACATTGTTGTACAACCATCACCAGTATCCGTCTCCAGAACTTTTTCATCCTCCCAAACTGAGACTCTGTCCCTATCAATACTCCCTGGTCCCCTCCCCAGCCCCTGGCTACTTGTGAATCTGCCTATTCCAGAGATGTCTGTAAGTGGAATCATACAGCACGTGTCATTCTGTGTCTGGAGTATTCTTCCAGATCCACCCATGTTATACAGCACATGTCATACTGTAGTTAAAATATGCATAACACAGGGTTTCCCTGGGGGCTCAGTGGTTGAGTACGCCTGCCAACGCAGGGGACATGGGTTCGTATGCCGGTCCGGGAGGATCCCACATGCCGCGGAGCGGCTGGGCCCCTGAGCCATGGCCGCTGAGCCTGCGCGTCCGGAGCCTGTGCTCCGCAACGGGAGAGGCCACAACAGTGAGAGGCCCGCGGACCGCAAAAAAAAAAAAA